ATTATCTTTTATTAAAATTTTGTCTGCATTATAAAAACAGAAATTGACTAGTTCCTTCCTTCATCCATTTGCTTTATAAATTTGTAATCTTATGGATGAAGGTTTGATTCATAGGTGGTGAGTATTATAATATTCCTTTATTCCATAGCCATGAAGCTCATGACTGCTTTGGTGAATGTTGCCTTAAACCTCAGTATTCATCAGGATAATACCCAGAGACAGTATGAAGCTGAGAGAAATAAAATGATTGGGAAGAGAGCCAATGAAAGATTGGAGTTACTACTTCAGAAACGCAAAGAGGTAAATTTCCTGGCAACTGTTATTCTCATATTCTGTAACTCTAATAAGTATATTATTAGTTTTTTTGTTAGATTAGATTATTTGATCTCAAAAAGTTTTAAATGAAACTGGAGCGTTCACCAATGATTGTGTCATAGCTGTCCGATGGCAGAAGAAAATCATAAAACATCCTTACTTTTGAAAGAAGGTGGTCTGGGAGTTAAGCAAATCAGAAAGGTTATCAGACCGTAGGCTCAGAAAGCATATTAAGTACTAAAGTCAGACCAGGGGTCCAGCAAAGCCTCATTTCCAAGGAAAAGTCAAAGTCTACATGTTAGCTGATGTATAAGACATTCCTATGAATAAGATTGGTGCCAGTTTTACCATTACTTTTTTCATATATGTATTAAAAATGTTTTTGTACTGAGTTCTTTTTAGGAAACATTTTTGTTTATCCAATAGTAAATAAAATTTTAGGTATGCACCATTAGTCTTTTAACTTGCCAAAAGAATATCACATTGCTGCAGAAGAATTGTGTATGAATAATGGATTATAACAGACAACAAAAAGCAGCATTATGATTAAGTTATTACCCAGAATGTATTAGTGTAATAGGGCTGCCGTATCAAAATACACAGACTGAATGGCTTAGACAAAAGAAATTTATTACCGCACAATTTTGGTGGCTAGAAGCCCAAGATCAAGGTGTTGGCAGAGTCATGCTCCCTCTGAAGGTGTTAGGGAAGGATGTGTTCTAGGCTTCTCTTTTAGCTTCTGGTAGTTCCTTGGCTTGTGGAAGCATAATTCCAATCTTTGCATGATATTCTTCCTGTCTGTCTGTCTCCAAACCACTACTATAAGCAAGATAATAAATTTATATATCATCTTATATATATATAAATAAATAAATTTATATATAAATAAATTTATATATCATCTTCCAAAGTTTTCTCATAGCACTTTGTAATTTCTCCCTTCCTGTCATTTCCCTCTTCTTTTGTCCTCAAGCAATCATTAATCTGCTATCTGATTTTTTTTCAAATTTAGTTTTAATTTTTTTTGGTGAGGGTGGGGGGCAAGAGCACCTTATAGTTTACTGTTGGTGCTTATTTGTTATACTTTTTTTGATGTTGGCAACCATTAATCCTTACCTTGAGTATAATTTTGTGTTAATACTTCTGTTAATTTTGAGTCATGAGTAAACACAAACTTTGATCAGTACTGTTGCCTGCAATTTGTATCATTGCTGTAGATATTATTTATTTTGTTAGTACATTGTACCACTAGTGGCCAGGGTCCTTTCTATCTTCTGTTATGCCCCCTGTTTTGGGAATTTAGCCTATTTTCAGTTAATGGGCTAGTCAGATGCAGAATAACATTTGAATACTTTTAGATGGAGGAGTAAGTTTCTTGTACAATATGTTAATCAGGGATAACCTTTTTACCAAGGAAGGCAAAAGCAAGCCAAGGACCTGATTTGGACAAAAGAGTTATAGAAATTGAGACCTATTCCTGGAGCAGTTGATATTTTGGAGACAGGAATTGGACCTCACTTAGCCATACAACTCCTCCTTGTTTATCATTGTGTCATTTGTGTCCAGAGAGTGAGAGGTTCTAAAACCAATGTGATAAAACTGTAGAAATAATGCATATATACTGGTAATTTCAGACATCTGTTGCACAAGTGAGAAAAAGGATTGATAACTACCCAGAATGAGAATAACCAGGAATTTAAAACAGTTGGAACTGTTCATTCCAAATAAAATGATCAATATTCTAATTTACAATTTTTATTGTTTTTTCATTTCAGCTACAAGAAAATCAGGATGAAATTGAAAATATGATGAACTCTATTTTTAAGGGTATATTTGTTCATAGATACCGGTAAGGGATTTTTAAAATCATTTAGGTTTTTAACTTAAACAATTATGGCTTTTTTGTAGCCCAAGCGAATTACAAAGCTATAAAACTCTACTAAGTATTACTTTTATTTTGCTTTGTTTTATTTTCTGGAAAGCAACTTTGGCTAAATAAGTAAATGTCTTGCTACAACTGTTGAGGAAATTGAAATGTATCCTACCAGTCATATGCTTCCAAATTTAGAATATGTAGTATTGAAAGCAGCCTGTGTACTTGCATTTGTGCTGATGGAATATTAATATGATCATTAAATTAATTTAGATTTAATAAGATAGTGTTTTCACATATGAAAAAACTAAATGCCTTATTTCTTGCCCTATGGTACTCATCTTGTTCCATGGTCAATTTAATCAATAATCTTTTTTTTTTCCTAAATACCTCTAAAGGTGGGAGAAAAGAAGACAGAAAAGGGCACCCTGTAGATTATACAACTACTTTCTGTCTTCACTCTTATTTACCTTCAACTATACACATGAAAGTAAAAGCTGTTAGCAAAATATTTTTGTCATACTGCATTGCAGATGAGTTTATAAGTGTCTTTGAGGCCTAAACACTTTTGAAATTCTATATTGTAAAAGAACATATATTTCACATAGAATTAATGAATCATATACATGTTATCATGTTAATTAAATGTGATATATGTATAAGTAGGTAGGCACGTATATTAAAAGTGCTGTTTTTAGACACACATGAGACTGTAGTTAGCCAATTAATACAAAGAGATAGTGAAAACAGGGAAATCGTTAACATTATACAGTTGACCCGAGAACAACATGGATTTGAACTGTGAGGGTCCACTTACATGCTGATTTCTTTTTCAACCAAAGGTGGATTGAAAAAAACAATGTTTGAGAGATGAAAAGCCCTTATATACGGAGGGCCAACTTTTTTGTATATGCTGGTCTTCAGGGCTGACTATGGGATTTGCATATGCTGGGATTTTGTTACATGCGTGTAGTCTTGGAACCAAGTGCACCTCATATACCAAGGGACGACTGTATATGTTAATATATCTTTGATATTTTATTTTAACAAAACTTAAGCAGTTTAACTGAAAGTATAAAAAGTTATTTTGGGCCAGGGCCTTTACTTTTAGTATGAATTCTCTGATTGATTGGAGTTTTACATGCCTCTTTCTTGCATATAGTGTACTTATAACACATTATTGACGTATTTGTTTTAAAAAGAAAAAGAACTTCCATATACCTACCATACATTCTTTTTTTCCTATAACTTTATGGTGGTATAGTTGATGTAAAATAAACTACATATTTAAGTGCGTAATTTGTTGAGTTTTAACATATATACACCTGTAAAACTACTACCGTAAGCAAGATAATAAATTTATTCATCATCTTTCAAAGTTTTCTCATGGCACTTTGTAATTTCTGTCTACCTTCCATCCTGTCATTTCCCTCTTCTGTTGTCCTCAAGCAGTCATTAATCTGCTATCTGATTTGTTTTCATTTTCTAGAATTTTACAGAAGTGGAATCAAACAATTTGTACTCTAGCTTTTTTTGTTGTTGTTTTGGTGTGGATTCTTTCTCTAAGCAAAATTTAGAGTCTTTCATACTTAAATGTGTTAGCTGTTAGTTTTTCATAGATGCCCTTTATCAGATTGAGGATGCTTTTTCTGTTCGTAGTTTTCTGAGAGTTTTTATTAGGAATGGATGTGGGATCTGTCAAATCCTTTTCTGCATCTTTTGAGGTCATTATGCAATTTTCTTTTTAAAGATTGTAAATGTGGTGAATTAAATTCATTGATTTTAAAATGTTACATGAATTCATGGAGAATAAAACCCACTTGGTCATGATATGTTATCCTTACTGATCTTGCTCTCTTGCCCAGGCTGGAAGGTATTGTCACAGTTATAGCTCAGTGCAGCCTTGAGCTTCTGGGCTCAAGCGATCCTCCTGATTTAGCTTCCTGAGTAGCTGGCTTTACAGGCTCAAGCCACTGCACCCCTTCCTTAGCTTCTTCTAAGAATTTATACATCTATGTTCAAGGAGGATAAACATCTCTCATTTTTTATTTTAATGAATATCACTGACTGCTTTTGGTATTGGGGTAACACTGGCCTTGTGGATTGAGTTGAAGTATACTCTCTCGTTAGCTTTCTGGAAGAGTTTAATAGAAATGGTGTTATTCCTTTTTCAGATATGAGTTTTACCAGTGGGGCCTAGAGTGTTCTTTGTAGAAATATTTTTACCTGCAAATTAGATTTCTTTAGTATATTTAGGGCTATTTAGGTTGCCTGGGTTTTTGTAAAAGAACCTTTGGTAGTTTATGTCTTACAAGAAATTGTTACATTCATCTAGGTTGTTGAGTTATATTCAACAATTATTAGTATAAAGTTGTTCATAATATTGGTGATTTTCATTTCTTTCTCTCTCTCGCTACCCTTTTTTCCTTTTTCCCTCTTTCCCTCTCTTTTCTGTCTTTGCTCAATCTGTCTGGAGCTGCTTTTACTGATTTGTCTGTTTGTTTTTTGTTTTTTTTTCATAAAGAATGAGATTTTGGTTACATTGAGTTATTCTGTTGTTTTTGTTTTCTATTGTATTGATTTCTGCTCTTTCAAAACATTTCCTTCTGCTTGCTTTCAGTTTTACTTCCTTTTTAATTTCTGAAGACAGAACCTAAAGTTATTGATTTTGAGCCTTTTTTTTTTTTTGTAATATAGGAATTTACTCCTGTGAATTTCTCTAAGCACTGCTTTAGCTATTTCCCCTAAATTTGGGTATGTTGTATTTTCATTTTCATTCAGTTCAAAGTACTTTCCAATGTCCCTTTTAATTTTTTCTTTGACCCATGGATTATTTAGAAGTATGGTATTTACTTAATAGTTTGCAAATATTTGAGAATTTTCCAGATACCTTTCTGATATTGATTTCTAATTTAATTCCATTGTAGTCAGAGAACATAGTTTGTGTGATTTGAATGCTTTTATAAAAATTTATTGAGATTTATTTTATGGCCCACAGTATAGTCTATTTTGATAAATTTTTCATTTGCTCAAGAAAAAGTATATTCTACTTTTGTTGGCTAATATTTTCTGTTAGGTCACATTAGTTGATAGTGTTGTACTTACAAGTCTTCTCTATCCGTACTGATTTTCTGTCTGTTTATTCTAACAATTATTGAAAGGGTTTTTATAGGAGTAATTTTTGTATTCTTATACAAGCCCATTATCAGATATATAATTTGTAAATATTTTCCCCCGGTCTGTGACTTTCTTTTTATTTTCTTAATGGTGACTTTTAAAGGACAAACATTTTCAATTTGTAGGAAGTCTAGTTAATCAGCTTTTCTTCTGTGGCTATGCTTTTGTTGTTGTATATGTGTACACCTGCCTAAGCCAAAGATTTCTTCTTTGTTTTATTCTAGATGTTTAATCATTTATCTCTTCTGTTAAGATACATGAACCATTTTTTTAAGTTTATTTTTGTATATGGTGTGATACAGGGCATAAGTCTACTTTTGGCATATAGATATTCAGTTGTCTAAGCACCATTTAATGAAAGACTATCCTTCCTCAGTTGAATTGCTGACACATTTTCTTGAAAATCAATTGAGCATAAAGGCAAGGTTTTATTTTTGGATTTTCTAATCTGTTTGTTCTCATCTGCATTAAGTAAGCTTTAAAGTAAGCTTTTTAAATTAGATAGTACATAAGTCCAGCTACTTTGTTCTTTTTCAAAATTGTTTTGACAATAGGTCCTTTGCATTTCTATATAAATTTTAGAGTCAGCTTGTCAATTTTTGTGCAAAAGCGTCTGAAATTTTGATAGGGATTATAATGAACCTGTAGACCAATTTGGAGAGAATTTTCCTCTCAGCAATACTGAATCTTTTAGTCCATGAATATAGATGATATCTCCACTTGATTTGGACTTTTTTTTTTTTTTTTTGAGACAGGGTCTTGCCCTGTTGCCCAGGCTAGAATGCAGTGGTGTCATCATTGCTCACTGAACTCCTGGGCTCAAGCAATCCTCCTGTTTTAGCCTCCCAAAGAGCTGGGACTACAGGCATGCAGCCGCTATGCCTGGTTAAATTTTGTTTGTTTTGTTTTTGTTTTTCTGTAGAGACGGGGTCTCTCTGTGTTGCTCAGGATAGTTTCAAACTCTTGGCTTAAGTGATCCTTCTGCCTTCACCTCCCAGAGTACTAGGATTACAGGTGTGAGCCACTTCACCCAGCCTTTCTTAGCATTTTTAAATGATTTTCAGTATACAAATCTTACATTTTTGTTAAATTCATTTCTAGGTGTTAT